ATATAGTGTGGACATACAGCATGGTTTCCATTTATGAGAAGGTAGAGATTAAAACAAATAAAATAGCCAGTGTGATGTAGTGGTTTGAGTGCTGGACTAGGACTGAAGGAGACTAGGCTTTAAATCCTCTCTCAGCCATGAAAACCCACTAGGTGACAAGTCACATTCCTCAGCCAATGAGGAAGACAATGGCAAACTCACTCTGAAGCAAACTCTGTGATAGGGTCTCCATAAATCAGATTCCAGTTGAAGACTCATAAAAATTGTAATTGGGCGTCTTCAAGTCATTTCTGACTTATGGTGGCTCTAAGCTGAAGCTGCCATGAGTTTTTCTTGGCAAGATTTGTTCAGAGGGGTTTTGCAATTGCCTTCCTCTAAGGCTGAGAGACTGTAACTTGCCCATGGCCAAGGGCTTCCATGGCCAAGAAGGGATCCGAACCCTCATCTCTAGAGTCATAGTCCAACACTCAAACCACTGCACAATGCTGGCTCCTATAACAAAATAATGGCCATTAAAAGGAAGTCAAAACTTCTGTTGAGACATTCAGCTTCTTGGGCCACATACATTCCACCTTAATACAAAAGTTCTGATAGTCAAGATCTATCATGTCAGAAAACTTTACAATTTCTTATTGTAGATATTTTTCCCAGTCCTTTCAGGATTCTCTCATTTCTCAGGTTTTGTCGTGTTTTTGCTAAGCTAGAGGAGAAATCCTCTTCCTACTAACCCAACCAGTACAAATTCAAATAGCTGGGTGGCTCTGAGAGAAGTGCCAAGATGAAGAATAACTGAAATGAGCACATTTTTCCCTGAGAAAGCCAGTTAAAAGGCTGTCATTATTCAACATGGCTGCTGTTAACACCAGCCAAGAAAAATATCAAAAGAGATGGTAACACTCCCAAATGCCTTCAGTGCTTTAACCCAGATTCTGCAGATACACTGTCAGAGAATATGGGGAAGAATCTATTTAATAGCTCTAATTGTCTGAAATGTGGCACCGACTACACAGCTGCACAATTTTGCTTTAATGTAAGACACTGCTGCATAAAATCCAAAAGAATGCAAGACATGACATGATTGTTTTTCTCATCTTTATAGTCTTCTTTTTTCCATTCTCTTTTCCTCCCTCTTTCTGCACACAAGAATTACATCCATTTTTGGATTTGAGGATTAGTTCACAGGGTGGCACCTGGGTAGCTCTCACTCCCATTTTTAGCATAGTATGTTTTCTCTCTAGGAAAACAGTTTGGTTGATTTTAGACATCAGCAGAAATGTTGTTTCAGTATCTTTCTTTTCATTCTGGATAAATACATTCCAATGTTTGCAAATGGTGACATATGTGATGGAAAGAACTCAGATTAAAATAATTGGAAAGTGGAAGAAAGTGGAACTGACATATTAGTACATGCAGGCAAAGGGCTTTGGAAAAGTTACATCTTTGGACCACAGCCCTCAGCTAGTTCAGCCTCAGGACTGTAATTCAAAAATGTAACTTTTCCATACCATTGCTCAGAGTATTTAGCCCTGGAAAGCCTGAATTTTAATCCCTACATATTCAGCTATGTTTACAATAATGAATCTGGCTCCCCACCCCCCTTTCAGAGGTTCCTCATCTTTAACAGAGGGAAAGTTTTTAACTTTGTCCTGTTTAATTGCTGCTGTTCCCCGCCCCGATTGCTTTGCAGAGGGGTGGGCTACAAATAAAAATCTATTATTATTATAACAGTTACATAACAGACAATTAAAATGTGATTCATAGTGTACTGGGAATAGCAATACTGCCATTGGGCATTGCTGGGAATATCATTGTGTTTGGTTGTTGTTGCTTGTTGGAAAAGTGCTTACCAAAATCCACACATTTTCCCATAAATTCAGTGAAAAGAATGCAATTTTTAAAAAAAAGGTGGAAGAAGAACTCACAGATTTGTTCATTTCCACTGAAGTTAACAATAAATCTATTTCTCAGAGGTAGTCAAGGATAAGAGAAGGTGTACTGCAGTGATTTTGATTTGTGTTGTGGGTACATGAGCACTCAGGAGTCAGGACAGTTCTGTTACCTTTTATCAATCTCAAGGACTACAAACATAACAAGTAATGTAACCTATAATACAACAAATTGTATTATGTATTTTAAAATTTCAATGGTAAGAAATTACTTTTGAATTGGCTGCTTTGCAACATGTTACATAACAAATTTATTAAAAAAAATAACTTTCCAAATTTTGACTCCCCACCCATTTTTTTTAAAAAAACATTGCTATTGTTGTGTGTCTTGAGTTGTTTCTGACTCATGATGACCCTAGCGTAGGATTTTCTGGGGCTGAGAAAGTATGATGCACCCAAGGTCACCCAGTGGGTTTCCACGGCCAAGTACAGGCCTCAAAACTTTAGTCCTACACTCAAACCACTACCATGCTGGTTGATACTGCCTGCTTAAGAATTCAAGAGAACTTGAAATTATTGTCCTACAATGGATTCTATATATTGATAGGTTATTCATTATGCTGTATCCCATTGTATGACAGCAGAAAAAATTGTTTAGAAGCAGTGGCATTGTTCTCTTAATTGCATAGTGCCTTGTCAACAGCAAGATTGTTGAATCAACAATTACTTTCTTCCCAGCTCATCTTTGGAACACTTGCCAGAGGCAAGGAACATTGTACAAGCACAAATATTTGATTAATGACATGATCCCTTGAAATGAATTTGCTTGATTTATGAATAATCCTGGCTACGTGCTCTTTGATTTACTCCTAGTGTTCTCACCTTAAGATTCAGAAGATACATTAATGTTATTTTTTTTAAAAAAATCATGAATTCATTATCAGTTAAATTAAATTATTTTTCCTATTGTATCCTGTAAACTTTTTTATTTTTTCCCCTCCTAGGAGCTTACATTTGTTGTTCAAATAAAATTTCAAATGAGGAAAGCATCCATATTAAGTGCTATTAGCGTAATTCTGTCTTCTAACACTTGTATTCTTTTTATACATTAGACTGGATGCCAACCAAAGAAACTCTTTCCCTCAAGGAAATAAATGTATGTACCCAAAGTGCTGTGTTTAATATTTGGCACAGAAATATTCACACAAAATTGGATCCTACATGTATATAACAATATGAGATATATGAAACCAGGTTTCCATGAGAGCCAGAACAGTAATCAAATAAGGCTCCATACACATATGAGGGCCAGCTACATGAATTCATCTGAAGACATGGGTGCTAATGCATTGCTGGGGGGCAAAATAGTTCTCCCTCTATGTATTCACAGAGCACATGGAAGAGGATCATCTCCAATAGGGTACTGTTAGTGTTAAATGGAGGTAACACAGTAATGACAACAGTGAGTTTTCATTTCAGGCCAAATTTGACCCAATGTACTCAGTGTAGGGGACAAGAAATTCTGTTCCTTTGCCAATTCTTAGTCCAAAGTGTTGACTCACCAAGTTCCCTTTGATTTAATGAGTCTCTTTAGTAGGCTCTTACAACTGGATTTAGCTCACTAGTTGCATACATGTTGGGTATCAGTATAATTCTTAAATTTCCTGAAAGAACCAGAATTCTTTGATATGATGGCATAAGATCTATCTGTCAATCAATCTGATCAATCGTATCTGTAATGACTGTGGGTCAGCCAACACCACTGCCTAAAACAGACACACACTTTGGCAAGCTGTGTGTGTGTACATTTTCATGAAGTTTCAGGATTTCCAGGACCCACTGGAATTTTTTTCACATATTGCACTTTGAAAACTAGGGTTCTCTATTCACAGCATGGAGATGTGGGCAAGTGTCTGATGACTGAATCTGCATGTCTGTGTTGTGAACCACTGATATCCTAGGGGAAGATTCTCAAGTAAACAGTACCAGCTGAAGATATTTTGCTGCATGAAGCAAAAGACAAAATGGCATCCAACATAATGTGCATGCTGACTGCACTGGCAGGTGAATCTAACTACAAGATTGGTGACCACATGACACTGTACCTGAGGGTAGCAGTAGATTCAAGGGCCTAAGTGGGTGGGAAGTTTAGGCTGCTCTGGACAGGACAGACAGGACAGGAAGAATACAGAGTCCTCTCTTCCAAAACCTTGCCATCCCCACAGCAGCCACTGCGTGAGGCAAGTGCCTCACCTTTCCTAATGGTAGGACCCTGTTAATGAAGTACCTTCGGGCACTGGATTGATTCTCTAAATCAGACTGGCCATTGTATCCATTTGGACAAGAAGAAGTATAAAAGTCCTGCTTCAGTTTAGCCTTACAAGAGCAATGAGGGGTTATTGTTTAGTCCTAAATTGAGTAAAATCATTGAATAAATGGTTGAATATACACAGATAAACTCCACTGATTCAATTTGTCTACTCTAGTTGGAATGATTAATAAGATTCAGGTCTTCCTGTGTACTTAAAAAAATAAATAATGTATTAAGAGCATACCTCCAATATTTCATTGATGAAAACTAGGGTGTGTAGGGCCAAGCAACATCAGAGTGCAGGTAAGGATGTAGCAGTTTGTTTTTGTCTGAGCTGACTCAAAAAGGCAAGATTTCAGTCCTTTTCTCTTCTCTCCCCTGCTGAATTAACTGCATGTGAACTACGTTTGCTCTTTGAATTCAGTTTACAGCAACTGAAGTAAGCTGAGGACAAAGGAGTAACGTGAGTGGAGAGGAAATAAAATGGGACATTTTTAAAGTATCTGAAGAAGTGGGATGACAGAGGTTTAATCAGGACTGTACACACAAAATTGGGGACAGTTGGAGGGTATGTAAGAGTACATTAAACTGCATCTTGCTAGACCCAATGAAGTGCATAATTTGTTCAGCTGTTTTGCTTCCCCTTTGTATGAACAGACAGACCTAAAAGCTTATCTCAAAAAGGCAGTTTACAAAATACAAAGCCCCAAACTGTTAGTTTTATTCTGTGTCCCTTCTTCATATCTATAATCCAAAAACCACCTGTAAAACTGCCAATGTGAATCAGTTTAATTTGAGAAATACTTGCAAGGGCACATAGCCATCTGCATAAGAATTGGACAAATAGATCTTTGCTTCCATTGTAATGAAAATAAATATAATATTTTATTAGATAAAAAAATTCACAATCTTAGGATTGCTGAAACTATGCTAGGTTAAGTTTTGCTTTAATCACAAAAATCTAGTCTACAGAATAGAGGAGAATCACCATCACTACCACCAACACCAATGCCACTCCTCAGATAGGATGGAGACCTTGCTGCTGGTCTGCTTGTTTCTATCTCTATCCCTGTGGACTGCTGCCTGACATCTGTTTTGTACAGGACCAGACCTCCAGGTACTGTCTGCTAGCCAGCTCCACCTGTCCCCTTTCTGCAAAGAAATACCTGAGTTACCTGAGATGGTGGATCTAACATCAAAGAGGGCAACTAAAATGGGGTTGCAGTGATGTTATGGGTTTGTATTTGAAAATGTTGTTTGATTTATGGATTGTGTATTAGAGGTAAGGAACTG